GGTTAATAGAAGTCCATCCACCTCTTTGGACATTTCTATTTGGAATTCTTAGAATCATCTTGGACGAAACATGTCCAAACAAAACTGTTCTCCCCTCCAAGTATATTGGTGCAGAAAATTTTTGACTTTTCCTTGATTTCTTTCCCATTCTATATAGGTTTTTTTTAATATATAGATTCTATCAAAATGCATCTCAAATCTGACTGCTTCTCTTCATCTTCAGGGATGGTCCTAATCACAGTCTTCTTTCACATAGATTACTTCTGTAACCTCCTAAAAACTGGGATTAAATGTTTCCTTAAAAGAAGCTTCGAGTATTGAGATTTTCATTTGTTCCTTCCATTCTGTGGCCTTTGCCTTCCCTCCCCACCAGTTTTCCTTTCTCCCTCTCTCTCTTCTCTTATGCGAGAACTTTTTAAATTTTTTGAAATAATTTTAGATTTATAGAAGTTTTAAGACACTTCACTGTACTTTTCCACTACATAATTATCTTATATAGCCTTAATACACTTGGCAAAACTACGAAATTAACATTGGTACGTAATTAACGAGACTTACACTTTATTTGGATGGCAGCAGGTGTTTTGCTAATGGCCTTTTTATGATCCAGAAGCCAGCTCGGGATCCTACACTGATTGCATTTAGTCATCCTGTCTGCCTTCTCCTTTGATCTTTGACAGTTTCTCAAATGTTCCCTGTTTTTCACAGTCCTGACAGTTTTAAAGAGTACTAGTCAGGTATTCTGTAGAATGACCCTCAACTCGGGTTTGCTTGATGTTCTTTCATGATTAGACTGGACTTAGGGATTTTGAGAGAGAATACCACAGAGGTGAAGCCCCTTCTCATCACATCCTATCAGGGGCACATGAGAGCAAATGACTTACCAGGTGGTGTTAACCTGGATCACTTGGTTAAGACCTTGTCTGTCAGGTTTCTCCACTGAAAAGTTATTTTTCCCTTCCTCTTTTCTATTTTTGAAAGTCAGTCACTAAGTCCAGCCCACTGTCAGGGGGAAGAGAATTAAGCTTCACCTGTTACACAGGGGGATATCTACATATGTTTTTGATAATATATGTAAATCTCTTTTTTCTTTTAAATCATAAACTGACCCATCAAAGAATAGCTCAAAGATCCCCTAAACATATGTAGCCATCTTGTTTTATTTGTGTATGTGTAACTATTAAATGCTTATTAAATAGCATATATTTTTAATTATCATTGTGGAAATTGCTTGTACATATTAAATATTTCAGTTTTCTGTATTGTTTTTATGAATAAAACAAGTTATTTTGTTTCTTTGAGGCCAAGGTTGGCCAGGGGAAAGGGTCAGAATCATTTGTTTTATTTTTTTTTTTAATGTTTGTTTATTTTTGAGAAAGAGCGAGAGAGACATAGCATCTGTTAGGGGAGAGGGCAGGAGGAGAGAGAGAGACACAGAATCTGAAGCTAGCTCCAGGCTCTGAGCTGTCAGCACAGAGCCTGACCTGAGCCTGAGCCAAACCCACTGAGCCACCCAGGTGCCCTGGGGCAGAATCATTTGTTAAGGCTCTTTTCTTCATGGATTCCCTGGGAATTCTTTTACTGGATTTGAGGTACCCTTGTTTGTCCTCACTCTTATCCAGGAATTACAGGAAGGTAACAGTATTGGGGCACCTATGTGTTTAGTTGGTTAAGCCTCCGACTATTGATTTCCACGATTGTGACCCAGATCGGGATCTCAAAGTTGTGAGATTGAACCCCAACTTCACCCTTATACATACATGCTAGTTAGCACATTCAGAAAGGGGGGGCAAAGGAAATTGTACTGTCCAGCAAGTAGTGATACACAACACTTCTAAAATATTAGAAGTCACTGAGTAATCAGTTGCAATGAAGATCTTTTTTTTTAATGGTTTTTTAAATTATTTACTTTTGAAACAGAGAGAGACAGAGCCTAAGAAGGGGAGGGGCAGAGAGAGAGAGGGAGACACAGAATCTGAAGCAGGCTCCAGGCTCTGAGCTGTCAGCACAAAGCCTGATGCAGGGCTCGAACTCATGGACTGTGAGATCATGACCTGAGCTGAAGTCAGACGTTCAACCGACTGAGCCATCCAGGTGCCCCGACCATTTTTTAAATTTTAATGTTCTCTTTTTTTTTTTTTT